TATATATATATACACACAGCATATAAACTACATACTAACATTATTTTAATAATATACTGTAATAAGAACCTTGTTGAAGATCCCAGCAGTCATCTTGTATTTAACTAGTCTAGAATGCTTAGGAACATACTTTGCAACATCTGTCTTTCCTGGGAGCAGACGTATTGGCAGTTTTTTTTTACGGTGTATGGCCATTCGCCCATGTGAAGGAGCCTTAGAAGAAAACTCAGTACATAGATTTATTGAAGATGTAAATCTTAGCATTTGTTTATATGTACAGACATTTACATGCATATTCATGGGGGTGGGGCACGACAAGCTCCTTTTTACATGGTGGTAGCAGGTATTTTACCTCTACTTGTCTGTTCATGTAAATCTAGCCATTAGCTCAATTTTGCAAGAGCTTTTTATGGGGTCATTTGTAAAACTGTATGGCAGTTGCTGATCACATTGCTATTTCTGCAATGATTGCATACAGACACCTTTCTCGTGAAGAGCTTTCCATGAAGAGAGGTCAGCTTGTTTTTCTGTTTTTTTTTTTCTACTTGAAATGAATCATAAAGGAATTCTTAGGTTTCTGCCCTGTGCATGTGAATAATGAGGATATGCAGCATCCATAGTGGAATTGTGTTCATGGTCTTGCTTCGTTCATCGGTGGCACCTGAATGATTTCACTTAGCGACTAACAGCATGGATTTTCATTGGAACATGTAAAACCCTTAATTGTTGCACATATAATTGTACATAGTTAAAGATACTGGTGGGAAATATGAAGCTATCTGAGTAGAATTTACTTTTTATTTTTACTCTTTAAAATGTTTGTATTTTAGCGTCGCACTGACTAAAGGTTTCTAATAAGTGAATGAACAATTTATCATGATTTCTGCATGAAAACCTAATGCTTACTAAAACATTTGAACATTTACCTAGTTTTTATTGCTATGTGCTTTTTTAAAGTTCTCTTGTGGCCACTAACATAGTCAGTACTGATATTTTAGCTCGAATCCCAAATCCCTTGTTATATTAGTCTCATGTAATGCCCTGCACAGTAGCTGAAGGAGGAACAGCTTGCACAGCCAACCAAGGCTCTATGGCTTTGTCCAATGCTAGGTACCCCTATAATAATAATATTGCATAGGACGTGGGGCACCAATATGCTGCTACTCCTTTATTTCCCAGCAATAAGGCAATGTGAGAAAAGATACCAAAGGGGGTACCATTAAAGTGATTTGGAGGTGTGAGGGGTGCAGTTTTAAGAGTAAGGCTAGATGATTGTGATTTCTGCCTGGATTTCTGCTTTACATATGGAAATACTGTATATCAGTCAGAAACGGTTAGTGATAAAAGAAAGCTTTAAAGCAAAATTATATATCTTAGATTGGCTTTTGATGTATACCCCAGTCGCTGTTTAATAAGGATGAATTATCACTCCCAAACATGTTCTTTTGATAAAATGTAAATTTCGATAGCCAAGATACATGAAAAGACAAGCTTAAATGTTGATATGTTTTGTAATATGCACTCAGATTCAGTTTCTAGTTAACCGCCTTTGCCTTATTAGATAAATGAAAACCCTATGAAGAAAATTCTTAGTACACAAGAGTCCCTCTTTTTCTTGACCCAAACACCAGTGAACATAATCAATGTTCAGGTTGATGACACACCAGAAGACAGTTTGAATGACATCTGGCTATTTTGGTCCAGATCACTGAGCCCTGCTTACAAATATGTTATGATGGTCACTGCCAGGGATTAATACTAGTAACTTAATGCTATAATAAACTGATCTGTGCAGTAGATCTATTCTATTTTTAATGTATTTGGTGCAGACAGATATTGGGGGGGTGGGGCGGGGGGGGGTCTGCTCTTTTTATGTGTTTCCATACCTTATTAAGGTTAGGACTTACTCAAGACAAGCTGCTCCTAATCTATGTTTTGTTATGTATATGTCTCTGAATGCACATAGATAAGAGTTGAAAATTGTATGCAACAAAGATCTCTGCTTCTAATCTAAGTAAAATACAGTTTAGAATTGCTGCTGGCTAGCGACAACAGAGGTAATTTGACAACTACATTTTAACTGGATCATGATTTTATCGCCATTGTGCTTGTATTTGTGCTGTATGTTGTAACAATGTTTGCTCACTGTCAACAGCAATGGATATCAGTCACTGTACTCTGCTTTTACATCTACACTGTAATAATCATATATATTTTATCACCTTATTATAGTATATTTTAACTGTATTATAGTCTGTATTTAGCTACTTAGCTATTAGGTAATTCATACAAAAGACTGCAGATCATCCACTATTGCTGTAATAAAGAGTCAGGTTATGTAATCATGTTGGGTACAAAATGTGCAAATGGAGTTAAATAGAGTTTTAAAGTGGTAATGTCCTGAATGAAGAAACATACATCAGTAAAATGTTGACTACCAACTTAAATTGTTTCAGGTCAAGTTGGGCTTTAATAAAAACACACATATATTACTGCTTGGCATGGTTCTTAAAGTCCATGTCCAGGCAAGTTAAAATACAAATTGACACTCCCCCATCCCTCTGCAGCCCCCTGCATTTTTTCTACTTCTTCTATTCTCCTATGTCTGTAGAAATAAATTTTCTGCAGTTCGGGTGCCCCGATCCTTAGGTTTCAGCAGTGCAGGGTGGAGAAGTCTGTAGAGCACCTTATATAACGTAGGTGTGCCCTGCAGAGCTTGGGGTCACCTGAACCAATTATCTGGCTTGGGTGACCAGTCTTTTCAACAAGAGATGCTGCCGCTACCACACCTAACCGTTCAATTAAAAGAAACCAGTGGCTTCATGAATAAGTGCTGCATCAAAAAAGAATGGGAACTTGCTTCATTTTTTATGCCCGAACAACAGTTTTAAAAAAGCAGCTAAAGAGAAAATATTAAAACATTCACAGTAAAGTGCAACATATATTTTATTTGCATTCCAGACACTAATATCTAATAATACTGTGATCAATTTCTTAGCTTGCAAGATGAAAGGAAAGATCCTTAGATATAATCCATCATTTAGAGCTGCTGTTTGTGCTCATGCCTGGTTAGGCACATCATGAAACCCCAGTCGTCCACATATTTGTCTGCACTTCAAAAGCCAACCCTCTCTTTGCCAATGTTTTCGCACAGTAGCCAAATCTAGTAAAACTCTTTCAGGCCACAATCCAAGAAATATGAACTCCTCCCCCACCAAGAAGACAGATTCCCAGGAACTTGAATCCAATGAATGGAACGGTAAAGTTGCCAGACAGGAGAAGCTGGCCAGGAATCAGAGTTCTCTTGAGAAGGACACTTGTGTCTTCCATCCAATTTACATTTGGCTCTGTCTGCTTGCAAATAGTCTGAATTCCAATGGGTTGGTTCTGTCACAGAAAGACAGATAAAGCAGTGTGCTAATTGGTTGAATAACTTAAGTGCCTAAACTTTGTTGCAATAATAGAGTACAATAACAACCAGGATAATATTTTTGTAATAGACTCCTAATAGGTCACATTTTACTCTATTTGGTTTAATCTGCAACATTGTAAACCTTTAATAAACTGTAAATAATAATACAACAAAGACAATAAA